GGATGTGCTTGAAGAGAGTAGTGAGAATTTGTAAAAGCCACTGGGAAGAATAGGAATGGTGCCCAGGAACACAGAAAAGCAGAAGGGAATTTCCAGGGTGGCACTGGGGCCCAGCCAGAGCTGCTGAACATTAAGTTGAGGTCATAACGAGCCTCTTTGAGGTGCTGAGCACCCTAGAGGTGCTGAGCAGCCCAGAGTTTGAGCTGAAGAGGGGATGTTTGGGAGCTGACAGGGTGGGGGTAGCAGCGTAGGGACTGGTGGGAGGACAGGTGGGCCAGGGAGTTGAGGATGCAGAGAGAGGGGAGCTTAGGCAACAGAAGGAACTTGAATGAGATGCTGGTGGCTGAGGATGGGAGGCTGGTTAGAGGGACCGCTATGGACCTGAGAAGCACCAGGGACCTGATACATATCATCAGTAGCTGCAGTCTGTGCTCATTGGCCCCATGGGATGGTGCTGAGCTCTGCTGTTCTTAAAGAAAATCCTCCCCAGGCTTTTACCCCCCTCACTTTATGCTCCAGAGGCCATTGCATGGTTTTAGATGACTTTAACCCTCACACTGACCTTATTCCAGCCCAGTACCTCCTTGGTAAATAGGCCCAGTGCCCTCAGCCTTGATGATTCATGCTTCAGTTTCTATTGAGGCATGCCCAGTGGCCAAGCAGGATGGCTCTCCTGGTCATTCTCCCTCTGCTTTGGACCTGAGCTTTTGCCTGTCTGCCACTCCCTCTTCTCCATGCCTCCGATGAAGCCCCATCCGGAGCCTCATACACACATCTCTGGCACAGCGAGTGGTATTCAGAGTATTTTTTATCATGTTTAAAATAATTGGGTGTAGGAGAGTGACTGAGAGATTAGCCTTCTGATTCCAACTTGAAATGTGAAATGGGGTAATTGACTTTAGATTTGTAATTTATTGCTGAAAAGTATAAGAGGATTTTATGTTTTGCAAGCAGTGTAGTATTGGAATGTTTAAGAGATCTGTTACATATATAAATTTAATTTAGTCTGTAAGTATTGAGAATGTTTTGCTTGTCAGGATAGGTGACAAATGTGCTTAAAAAAGAAAGTTGAATATGTTAAATTTATTAATGCAGTTTAAAATGTTTAAGGGAAATTTAATTAAACTAAGCTTGTAAACATAACTGTTGAAGGGAGTTTAGTTTGTTCAACTTGAGAATATTAATCGAAGCTCCCTTATTAAAATATACTAGACTTATTAATAGAATAATAAGATTTGTGTGTTGAATTTCAAGGCTTAACAGAAACTAGGCTTTACATTTTATCATTAAAAAAATTGAATATAAGATTAAAAATCATCTTTTCTCGGGAGAAAGAGAGAGAGCGAGAGAGCTTACAGACAACCTCTCAGTTCCAATAAGGAATTGCTGCAGACAGCAACATGCCCGATGCCACTTGGGACGTGGGTACCTCAGTAGAAGCCAGCAAAGAAGAATTCTCATGCTTGAAGATCAGCTGAGATTTACCCTTTTAACCAATGTCAGTGTAGGAACAAGGACAGCTGCAAATCAGACATTTTCCTGCCTTGCTTCCAAGCTGCCAGGAACTTAGATTGTTGAGGATCCCAAGTCCTTGTGCCCGATGCACCGTGAGGCCAAACAAATCAAAATGCTTGGAGCAGAGGAAGGTTTATTGCAGGGCCATGCAAGGAGAAGGGGTGGCTCTTGCTCAAAACACCTAAACTCCTAGATGGTTTTCAGGGAAGAGTTTTTAAAGGCAATATTTGGGGTGACAGCTGCAGGGTGTATGACTTTCTTCTGATTGGTTGACAGTGAGGCAACAAGGTGATATTTCAGGAATCTCAATCATCCACATTCTGGTTCTGACCAGTGTGGGGTCTCAGTGAGTAGGTACCATACTCTACCTAGGTAGGGGCCTTAGTTCCTGCAGAACTCAAAGATATGTATCTGATGTTATATAGGTCCCTTGAGGTCCCCCTAGGACTCCTTTTATTGCTGAACTCTTGTTTCCTGACTGCTTTTCCTTAGCTCCTGCATTCCCTCACTTCCCTTAAGATCATTAATTACTGAGACCTGTTGAAGGCCAAGCATTTTGGTTAGGCTTAGATCCCAAAACAGCTTAAGCCAAAAATGGCTTCTCTTGTGTCAAGAAAGCTATGCCTGTTTCTCTTTCTCCAATGACCCCCTACCCTATGTGCTTACAGTGACCCCCTGTTTAGTGGTGACAATACAATTTTTTGATGCAACTCCACACATATGATGAGAGCTCTGCACTCTAGGAAGAAGATGCTCTCTATCTTCTGAAGCAGACTTAAAATCACTGCTACCATTTCCATGTTTATTCTTAATATTTTTGCACTGTCTCACACCATCACTTGAGAAAATAAAATTGCTCTTAAATCTTGGGTCCAAAAATAGGACAATGGGCCAGATTAATTGGCTTCCAAGGTAACACAATTCCCTGCATTTCTATCTGCAGTTCAGCTTTTGTGGCATGCACACCAATTTTAACATCCTCTCTGTCTTTTTTACAGATAAGAAACACCTACTCTCTTAAGGAATATGGCTTTGGCTACTTCTTGGGCATTTCTGGGATATGAACCACTTTCTCTGCAGGCAACCATTGGTGGTTTGTAAGCCCTGCTATATTGGTATTTTAATCTGCAAAGTACTGCATTAAAGTCTTTCATTCAAGCAGCCTTTTAAGAATGTAACGGCTGCTCTTTCATCTTTTTTGAACATCTTGTATAAGAACATGACAAAGCAATTTCAAAATCCTTTGTCTGCCTTGTGGTTTGTCTTTGCTTGAAAAAAAGTGATAAAAGTGGCCTGTTATCTTTCTGTTTACAGTCAGTAATTCTGCTTCATTAAGCTGCATGCTAATTACTTTCAGAAAACACAACTGAGGATTCATGGCCTGAATGGAATTAAATAACTAAAAGCCAAATGCAGTTTTAGAGGTTATTTTATTTAATGTTATGACTCTTAGAACACTAAATTGTTCTACAAAGATTAGAATTCTGATATAATCTAATCTCTATTACTCTGCCTTGTTTTTTAAATTTTTATAAAACTTCGTTGATTCGAAAAAGAGGATAGCCTTCCTAAAATTTTCTAGTGAATGCTGTATGTAATGTAATGCTATATTAGAAGTTTCTTAATAATTTTTTTCATAACATAAAGAGTTTTCACAATCGTCATTAATTATTCTAACATTTTACTCTTGCAAACTAAAAATGCACATTTAGATTTCAACCAAGTAATAGGAATTAAAAATCCAAAGCACCCAACTTTTTTTGCTCTGAGTTAATCAAAATGCTTACCTATATTTCAAAGTACATATTCAGATATTAATAATGATTCTGAATGATATGTCATTCTATTATTGACACTGTGAAGCTGAGTAGATTTAATGGTTAACTATGCAGTCATTTGCAAACTGATTATATGTGTTCAGGGAGGCCAGAAATGACATAAAAATTGTCATTCTGCCTCTCAAAATGCTAGAAGGCTTTTGATCTTCCAAAGATCAAAGCCAATTCCAAAAACAGATTTCGGCCAATTATTGTGGCTGATGCCAAGCTTTGATATAACCCTCATTCCTAGGAAACAGTGATTGAAAGGAAGTATAAGTATTTAGGCAGGAAGCAAAGGGCAGCTACAATAGACAGAAATAATTTATTGCTCAAATTAAGAGGGAGTATAGAATTAGGCCAGGAATAGGATTTGATGATCAGGGCTACAGAACATTTTTATCAATTAAGGGGAAGCTTAGATTAGGCACGTCGTTTATGAAAAGTCTACTAAATATCATACTAATGGTATGTATTTGCCATGTGCAGCCCAGCTGTCTGCTAGTTTGATGGGCCCTATTATTTAGCAGTTATATCATCCCCTGCCCCCACTCCCATCAGTGACTGGTGATTTCCAGAAGACATTCAAAGGTGTGACTCATATTTTCTATTCAATCTGTTGGTTGGTATCCTGTGTCCATGGACACTGTCTATACTGCTGTTTGGAAGAAGTCTCCCCACCCAGCACGGGAGTGCCTAGGACACTGCCTTGGGATATACTCAGATTCCAATTCCTGGTGTGCCTGAGTGGTGTTTGCCAAGGGTTTGGGCAGTGTAGCAGAGTAGCTGGTAGATGTGGTTTCTTCCAAAAGCAGCTTTCCTTATGTCCAGAGCCCCTCAAATTCTTGAATAACCTCATCTGCCTCTAAACTTTCAATCTCCCTAGAGACTGAAAACTAGTCATTATTCTATCACCTTTTGATGCAGGAAAAAGGGATGTGGGGCGTGAGGAGGGCCAAGTCCCAGGTCTCAGTGGAGCCCCTGGGGTGTGCTCCACCAGGTGCAAGTCCTTGCCTCACGCAGGAAGGAATTCAAGAGCAAGCCACAGTTGAGTAAAAGTAGATTTATTTAAAGAGATATGTGCTGCATAGAGTATAGGCCGCTTCAAAAGGCAAGAGAAAGGTTATGAGGTGTGGGAGTTGGGTGCTCAGGTTAAAGTAAAAGTAGGTATACGCTCCATAGACAGATTGTGGGCCGTCTCCAAAAAGGAGGGAGTGACAGAGGCAGCTACGGCCACAAGGCTGGGTGGTTTTTATGGGCTGGGTAGCTTCATACCCTGCAAGTGGGAGGACTGTTCCAGCTACCATGGGGAAGGGGCTGGGATTCTCAGGAGCTGAGCCACCGCCCACTCTTTGACCTGTTTGTGGTTAGCCTTGGAACTGCCATGGCACCTGTGGGCATGTTATTTATCATGCTAATAGGTTACAATGAGCATATAATGAAGCTCATGA